CACACACACACACACACACACACACACACACACACACACACACACACACACACACATTGAGAGAGGCAGCTACTCAAACACACTGCTCTGTTATCCCAGCCTGTCATTTGTTTATTCTTCACCCTAAAGCAGAAGTGTACATGCTAAGCTGGTCAAGACATCACAAGCTGCTACGTGCTGCAACAATGTTAATCTAGTGATAGTATATATTAGTGCCTGCTGAGGGTATTGAAGCCTACAAATAAAGCTATACACCACAGAGAAACAAGCAAGGTATTAATGTTGACTTACATTATTGTTTAAAGAAACGGTTGATGAGCTTTTGGCAACTTCTTTTGAATTGCTTGTCGTTTTTGTGTCAAAACTCAAACATTAATATATCAGTAGATCTGTTAAAAAGACATATGTTGACTCAGTATATCTGACCTGCATACTGCAGAGTAGAAGAGTAGATCTTTCACCAGATTGCATTATAGACTATGTCACGTAGTATACATTACTAAAGTGCAAAGTGTACAGTTATGATAGCCGTCTCTGCAAGAGAAACCATACAAATCTTTGAGACTTTTAAAAGACAGCACCAGGATTTTTTTTAGTATATGTATATATATATATATATATATATATATTTAGTATAAGATATAAAGTTATGATTACATTATTGTTCACTGATAATGCTGAGTAGTGACCTTTAACACTGCAGCTCATCTTTAATATAATTAACTAGCCTTCAGGCATTGCCTTAAGGCTTACGGGATTAGGACAATTAAAAAAACTCAACCAGGGTAGTCACCTTCAGTATATGATCCAGTTATTCTGATTTATTATTGTCGTTTGTATTTTCTATTAATTATTGAATAAACACTTTACAAAAGGTTTGGGATATTTAATTTTTGTTTGTATCCCTAGGGGGTTAAACAAAACAGAATCTTACAATTGAATTACAAATACCTGCCAAACAAACAAACAAACAACCAAATATCAAATCACTTAGCTTTGCAATGTACAAAGCAAAATCAGGCTGTTCTGAAGCAGGGAACACATTTCTCTTTTGTTATGAACAACAATTAAATGACAATAAGAGGCTTTTATGGTGTTAACCTTCGCTCACTTTCACAACACACTTGACATACTGACTTGTTGATCAATTCCTGCCTTGATAGCAGAATGAAAGAGACAATGGTTACAAAGTCAAATTATTTTTCAAGGATTTTAACATGTTTTATTTAGGCTTGGAAATGTTCAGTAGGTTTTCATTTCAATCCAAAATCTCCTGACATGTTAGAACCCTTTACATCTGAGACTCATTTGGTTAACAGTAACTTCAAGATGCATAATTATAATGTTATAACATAATTTAACAGTCTGAAAAATATATACCCATATATATACATTCAATAAAGTACTACACACCACGTAACAATGATATGATGTTAATCCCAGGTGTTTGTGTGCGACTTTATCTGCACACTTCCATGGATTTTAAGTGTAGGAACCAACACTCGGGTTATAGCAGGTGACACAGGGAGATATGGCTCCTCACTGGCTCATAGCATCAAAATTACACTTCTCCATTATGGTGGTTTTAGAGCATGAGCTTATTCCCAAGTACTGCTGTGCACATCATATTACATCAGGCATCCAACATTCTCCTGCACAGCATGGTAGACTAAGAGCAGCTGCTGAATCACTTGGTTGAAATATAGCCAATGGAGCCGTACGACTCTTCTTTCTGATACCACAGACTTATTTACATATTTGTATCAAGTTTACATTTTCCGACATACATGTCATCTTTTTATTATTCCCTGTACAAAGCTCAAGGTGCCTTCCTTTCCAAACACTCTGTTCGATGCACTTTGCATATCTCCCTGCATCTGTAAATATGAATTAAGTTAAATTAAAAGCTAATGTCAGGTGGTTTTATTTTCTTCTCTCCAGCTCAGCGAAGCCTCATCTCTAAAAGTTCTGCAGTTCAGGAAGGTTCCTGAAGAGATCCAGTGAATCTGGGTTGGAGAAAGCTCCTCTTTGCGCCACCTCCCGGCCAGCGATCACCTGTTTCACGGCCACCTCCACCTTCTTCCCGCTGATGGTGTACTGCAGAGGGATGAAGAGAAAAAATGGCTGTCATTCAAGCTGGAACTGACTTTTACAGTTGTGACAGGATAATTGGACAGGTTCTCTGGTATCTGACGTGATATTCATGTTTCTCTTACAGGAATGTCTCTGGTCTCCAGCATCAGAGCGGGGACGTGTCGGGCAGACAGAGCTTTTCTAATGGCTCCTTTAATCTTCCCCACCAACTCCGGGCAGAAGGGCTTACCAGATGCCATCTTTAAGAACAAAATAACTCGCTCTTCTCCGTCGTTATTGTACTGAGGAACGCAAAGACTGTCTGTCACCTCCTCGAACACCTCAACTGCAGAGACGAGAGGGAAGGAAAGGGCAGAGTAGAGGACAAGGAGAAGAAGATGAGAGACGAGGAGAGGAGAGGAGGTAAGAGGTAAAGAGAGTGAGGGAGAAAAGAGAGTTTGACAGAGGCAAGAACAAACAGCAACAACTTCCAAACTAAGCACAGCATGAATAAATGTTGCCTTCAAACAAATGATGAATATACTTCAAAAAATGGGATGATGGGAGGGGAAAATATTCTTTTCACCAACACAGAAACACAGTGTCCTTTCATCTTATCATCCTTTCTTACACCCATATCCTGCACCTACATCTACTGTATATTGTTAAAGACTCACCAATGTTGTAGATTTCTGAGCTGCCAAATCGGACTCCGTTGGGGTTTAATGTACCGTCACTGCAGAAAAAACACAAGTTAAACATCTAAAAGACTAGAAATAAATAATGTTTGGTAGCTCTCCCCAGAGTAAAATGGTTAATGGCTGACCTTCTGCCCAGCATTACAATGCCTCCTGTCTTTGGGTTGATTTTACAGTAGTCTCCATGGGCCCACACCCCTAGGGAAAAAGAAAGTGGTGATATTAAAAACACATTAAACTAAATGTTTAATGCATTATATCCTATGAGTGTTTCCATTTCTGGGTTCTTTGTATCATACTGTCATTTCCTTTGTATTAAGATGCTTCTGTACTAACCAGGATATGTAGAAAAGTACGCTTTGTGGTATTTGCTCCTGTTCTCGTCATTCCAGAAGTGTGTTGGCTGGCAGGGGATCGGTTTCAAGCAGACGAGCTCCCCACTCTCCCCCCACACGGGCTTACCTGTCCACACACACACAGATTTCACAAGAAGAAACAATAAAGTTAGAGGCTTACAGATACACACACCTACACTTGGACACACACCTACTGTATGAACACACACATAAATCATTCTCGGATCAAAGAAAAGGAAACAGCTGGTAATGTATCCCCCACTCAGAGAAAGTGATCACACAGACCACAGCTCCTCCCTCAGGATGGTGTTATAGGCTTACAGGCCCACTCAAATAATCCCAAACTCTTCCTACAAAACTGCCTTTAAATTATCCCTCTATCCACCCTCCTTTGAGGTGGTGGAGACGTGCCACTACAGCCTGCAGCGGGAGCAAAATCAATGAGAAAAACATAAAGGGCTTTCAAGATGAAAATCTCTCCTTTTTTGCATGGGCCATAATGAAAAAAAAAGTATTTCTTTAAAGTTTTAACCTATATTTACACAGGGAGAGTTCACCAATTACTTCTTTTCAGCATGGCTAGCTTCAAATTCATGCCAATTCGTATGTACATCGACATATGGATGCAACCAAGTATAACTACAGTCTGATTCTGTTAGCTTCGAAGCAGTTCCAGAAGCAGATGGGAAGTTTGCTCAAGGGCATCCCAGCAGTTTTATGAATGGCTTCTGATTACATTTCATCATTAATATTCTTTTTAATTCCTTCTAGGATACAAAGCCACTTTACAACAACTCAATGTGATCCCTAGACTGTTGCAAATATAGATTCAAAAATCCTCTTGATACACTTTTGGTTGAATAGAGAGAAAATCTATGGCTTTACATTTCTGAGCAATGTCAGCCACTCTGGAAACAAATACACACACTCACATACACACACCATCTCTTACCATCAGGGCTCCAGGCTTCCACAGCAATGCCAAGGTTTCTGGTCTGGATCTCGCCACGGTACACTGGAACTGTTGGGTTCTGACCCATGAAACATGACACTATGTCTGTGCCGCCTGCGCAGGAGGAGAAAAGCAGACAAAGAGGGAGAGATTTAGTGGCATGATGGTCTGAAATGAAAGGGAACATCTGCACCTTTAAAAAAGTGTTTTGTTTTAAAGTGGTTGTAGTGTATTACACCGCCATCATTAACAACTTTTCCAGGAGAGGCTGTTTTCAAAAGGGTTCCAGTCAGATAATACTACAATGCCCAGCAACTGAACCCTAACCCTAACCCTAAATAACCAGGTATTCTTCTCAGTAGGTGATGAAGACCAATACAGAGCTAATAATCATTTTGGAATTATAACAAGACATGATCATGAATGATAAACTTGCATCATGTCTACTGGAGCTTTGATGACGTATTATCCATAAAGATTTATTAAAGTAAACAGTATATATATTCAAGTTCAAATTCAAAAGCTTTTATTGTCATTGTACAGAATACAATGAGATTTATAGTTACTGCTCCAGCGAGTGCTTTAAAAACAGACATATTAAAAGACAGATTAAAAGGTCTGACAGTTACGCCCAGCAAGTAGCGCACACAGCTTCGGATCGTCATGTAGATGACCAGGATTAATAAATAAATGAATAAATAAATGAATATGCAAACCTGTATTTAATGCACATTCAACCTGAAATTGCATGCTTGTTCCAAAACTCTAAATATATAGAAAATACTAAATGTACCATAAAAGCTGGAGCAAAGCAAGGTCACATTATACAAATTAGAAAGAATATCTATGATTCATCGACAAACTTGGAAGTTAATAATCACATACGTACTAATAATGTGAAAAAATGTGTGGCAGTTATTCACCCTAGTGGCAATACAATCAATTAATTTAGCTTTAAGTTGAATAAAGCTGATATTATATATATTTCAAGAAATCAGTCTCAAACGGAAACAGATTTTTATACCAATGTGGTAAAGCAGGGGTGGGGAACCTTTTTCATCTCAAGGGCCATTTCAATTTTTTCAACATCCTCCGAGGGCCGTACAAATTATTGACCTCTGCTTAAAAATACTAAAATCACAGCCCATTAATTTGGCCTTTCTTTCATGCTGTGCAAAGAAAAAGCAACCTCTTAATCCAGATATTTTACAATGACTCGCGTATGCATGCACGTGCACGGTTGTGGCATGACCACCAAAACAGAAAGATATGGACACAAGATGTGTGCAAATGTATTTAGTTTCAAGTCCATGTGGACATTATTTAAGTGGGGGGAGGACCTAAGATTTTTTTTTTTTTAAATGTTGAAGTTAAAAGCATTAATCTGGTGCCCTTTGAGAGCAACATTAAGAAATCTATGGAAACATCTCAACATCCATATGAAACAGAACTCTAAGCAGAATTATTTTTTCTTTATGGATATTTTACAAATCACTCCCCTTTCAAACTGTATTCTTGTTTATTAATAACAACTTTTTTTTACTGTCGTATAGTATTTTATACCCGTTTACTTTATTTTCTTATTTTATTACAACTATAATGGTCATATAAAGATGTGCTTTTACCTCACTGGTTGTGGAAAAAGCTTATTATATTCGTTAGCATAGCTAGCTAACAAGATGCTAATACCACTACACCCCTGTCAGACGAGACATATACCACGTGATGACACCTCGTGTTGTGTTCAAAGGCCCTGACCTTGGCCAGGAAAAACAGGCACTCGCTTGTTTAATTATTTTGCGGTCTAATTTTTTTCTTTTTTGCTTGTGTTTATAAATTACCTCGAGGACCGTACCAAATGGTCGGAGGCCGGAGGTTCCCCACCCCTGTGGTAAAGCATCACACTGACTGTCAACATGAAACATTACTTAACTATTAAAAAGGTATCAATCTCGCAAACAAAAACTAGCAGTGTTAGTAACCTGCTACACCTCCATCGACCTATATAAGACTTCTATACTGTTGTGGCACATTCTTAAATAACACACACACACACACACACACACACACACACACACCTCTTAATACCTTCCAATCATATCTACTTTTTCTGACATTTTCCATTCATCTCCCTTCCCATTGTTTCATCTCTACATCCCTGTTTCGTTCCCTCTCTGTATCGCAGGATCCATCCATCTTGTTCCCTTCCTCTCTCTGCTCTTCTACCTCTCTTTCCTCCTCTCTTGCTTTTCATTCTGTTCTTTACACTTGTTTTCTCTCTGCCAGATTCTTTATCAAGCTATAATTGGCTCCCAGGAGGAAGTGGATACGTCTTTTGATTAAACACACACACTTATTGTGCAAAGACACACAATTATTTTATTATTACACTCATTTAAAAAAGGTGTGTACATAAACAATACACACAAGAATATTTTGTGGCCAAGCAGCCTTCCATCATCAACGACTGTGTGTACGTGTATTGTGTGTATACACACTTGTCACACTGATCTGATGTTTCAAACACCACTCTGTTCTGAACAGTGAGAAAAAAACAAAGTTTGAACTCCACAGATTGTGTGTTCATATTTGTGCGCATGTGCTTTCATTGTGTAGTGAGGGTACTTTGAGCAACCTCTGGCGCAGTTTGGGGTCAGACAAAGCCCCCGACTGAGACAGAAAAAACAACCAGCTAACCCACATGCCTTCATGTACTCAAACATGATTTATAAAAGGAATGCATATAATAAAAGTCACAGCAAGACTTCACCGCCACTCGTTCAATACTTGAGCACACATACATGTATAGCATACACAGCAACTCAAGTAAGGAAAGAAGAGAAGAGAAGAGAAAAGAAGAGAAGAAAAGAGGAGAGAAAGAAGAGGAGAGGAAGAAGAGGAGAGAAAGAAGAGGAGAGAAGACGAGGGAGCAGCAGGGAAGAGGAGAAGCAAAAAGGAGCAGAGGGCTGACATATGGCAGTCAGAAGGAGGTATATTAGGATGGAGAAAATCCAGGAAGGAAAGTGTTAAAATTCCCCAATGAGAAGCAGAGGGGGTCTGACATCCCTGCTGAAAGGATCACACACACACACACACACACACACACACACACACACACACACACACACACACACACACACACACACACACACGGTGAAATCGGAAAAGGGGTCTATCACATATGTCACCGTGACCACCAGTCAGTCCCATATGCTGTGATAAATCCTAAGAACACACACACACACACAAACACATGCAGAGTGAATGTGTTGACATCGCGGGTCAAGGTTAGGTCGGTTGGCAGCCAATAGAGTTGGAGCCTGCTGTTGCCCTTGGCGACAAGGAGGAAAGTGATGGGGCAGGACCTGCTGCTCTTAAGTATTAAAAACATCTACTTCCATGGTAGAAAACCAAAAAAGAGAATGCCAAGTTGAGTCCTTCCCTTTTATCTTACATTTTTTTCTGCCCTTTTTCATCTTTTCATCCTACTAGTTTTGAGCTCAGGATTTTGCTGAGCTTTTACCCTTCTTTTCCTGCGCCTCAGCTCAAAAGAAAGGTGATGCATAAATACCCTAAAGACAAATATATATAGATATAAATTAATAAGTCATCCACTCTTTATCTCCGAAGTGACATTTTAGTCACAGCTTGCGTGTCGAATCCCTCGAACTGTATGTCATTGTGTGTGTGTGTGTGTGTGTGTGTGTGTGTGTGTGTGTGTGTGTGTGTGTGTGTGTGTGTGTGTGTGTGTGTGTGTGTGTGTGTGTGTGTGTGTGTGTGTGTAAGACGTCAGTCACCCAGGCTGTGCTAAATGTTAAACGTTTCAGGACTCACAGAGAGACAGATAGCATTCTATATGCCTGTCAACACAACAATGGGCTGAGAGGGCCTGAGTGTGTGTGTGATGGCATTGTGGGTGGTGTGGAAAATGTACAGTTCTATGCAATTTTTTCTTGCTTTGACTTTCCTTTGTGTGCGTCAGTCCCTTTGTATCGCAGATGCTTTGTTGCTTTGATTTGCATGTATGCGTGTAGCTGATGGGTTTATGTAGCGCACAGCAAAATCGTTTGGAAAAACTGCTTCTATGTGTACCTTCAGATGGAACTGAATTCTTAGAAAAATGACAAAAATGTGTCAACAGCCTGAATCCGTCACCTGAAATGGAGCCCAGCAGCACGTTGCTCTTGATGCAGCGGTACACATAGTCGTAGCTTTGAGGTTTGAGAGGAGATCCAGTAGACAGGATGGTGTGGAGAGATTGGAGGTTGTGTGTTTCCGCTGGGGGGAGAAAGAAAAAATAATCAGAATCAGAAATGGTTTAGTTGACTGTAGAACATTTGAGAATGTCTAGCCTGTTTTGAAATACTGGCAAGAATATCGCTTTGACGTCAATAGGAACAAATGGCATTGAATGATGGGTTGCTTTTTAAAGGTCTCCTATTATGCTATTTTTAGGCATATATTATAGGACTCAGATATATACAAATATATAAAAAACCTGTCTATGAAGTGTTTTGCTAAAAATAGCAAAAAGATCACCCATGCCTCATACCCCTCTATTTCAGGCCTGTTAGAGAAGTGCTGATTCTGGGTGTAAAGCTTTAAAAAAAAAAATTGCTGAGTATCTGATCAGGAGAATTCTACCCAGATACAGCTAAATGCTGCCGTGATTAAACGCCATATCATGTTCAAAACCACATTAAGGATTTATTTCTGAAACACTATTGAGCTCAAATGCTTTTTTTTATTACGCCATATCGGCAGCAAATCTGGATCAGCTCCATTGTTCCCCCGTTTTTAGAGATTTGGGTACGGAGGAAAGAGAGAGGGTTTTGTTTTCTGAAAATTTGTCCTACGTGTTTTGTTAATGTATTTTCCCAGCCTGATGTCACACCACATACACTCTTGCATGCTTAAATCTTGACCTTTCCCTCCCACACACTCCCACTTTCCCTCCTTTTTTTGGG